TATAATAATAACGCAAAATGTTTGCAATCGGTACATCATTACTTGTGTCTGCAACGGTGCAGAGTAGACCCAGATTTCTGTAATCTGCCTTGGCTTCTTTGACAGTCGTAGATAGCGGCGGCAGAGAAAAATATCGTATTGCTTATAGAATATCCTCAGTGCGTCAATACCAGTCTTATGCTGGCCTTGCATTGTTAAAGATTAGCATACTCGCTTGAGAGTAATTTAGCATCGGACAGCGTCGAGAAGTAACCGATATGATATGGCTTGATTCGATTGCTAGCGATCTATTCGCATATCCCTGTCATTATGGATGTAAAATTTATGTGAGTGCTTGTGCGAGCTTGACAGACATGCTCTCATGTCCCTCATCATACCAGGCGCCTATGATTGATTGCTGTAAAGGACCATATTTGATGTTGTCCACATTGCCGGTAATGATACGTCGTGAATGGGCTTACCCAACTAACCCCCTGATGGTGTAATTAGAACTGTTTGCCCACTAAACTAAAAACACGTGAGGCGGTGATACCAAGTACAAAATTGTATATAGCTACTTGACCTTGTGTTGAAAGCCAGTCGTCATAGGCGAAACATCATTACCCAACTGTAGTATTTATTTTCACGACTTTATAAAGTGTATGTTTCTCTTTTAACAGGGAATGACAATTTTTTAACCTGAGGGATACTGTACATTATTTTACTCTTGAGGCTCGAAATTTTCATTGATTTTTCAAATTTCTTCCTTATTGATGTTGTACATAAATATTAAAGTTTTAACTCTACATCGTAATTATGTTTCTACCATAAAAAGTACAACTCGCGCTTGCCTGCTTGTTGGTGGAAGTAAAGTAGTGCGAGATAAAGATATATCCTATGAAGATTGCAAAGGTACTACTATATCATAGCTTTTCTGAAAGACGAGACGCATTTGTCTCTATGACTAGAATGTTTTGCTGGCAGGTATTGTTATTCTAGATTCTTTTGATCGCTTTAACTTTTTCATGGGGTGAAAATCGCAGCCCTAGTCTTATTTCTCTTTAGGTTTAAAACGGAGAGAAGGGCGAATGTTGTCGTAACGCGTTCCTGTTTTCACGTACGTATCCGCGAAGTGTCAGTTGTCCGTCCAACAAAGTGATTAATGCTTACATCAACTGGTAGCGCTCTATACCACTGTTTTCGGCCCTGCTGGAGCGTTATTTGCAGGGCAGCCCTAGGGAGGAAACGGTTTGAGGCGACGCAGGAGCAGAAGCAGCGCCGACAACACGAAGCTGGAGGTACATAGTATGACTATGTACCTCTAGCTTCGTGTGCGGGGATATAGCTCGTGAAGGGGGAACGTGGTCGGGATAGGTACGGCCGGCTTTTAGGGGTTTGAACGGCGGCTGGGACTCCACCCTGTAGAGGCTCGACGCTCTGCATAACTCGGCGGTGCCATCACCCAGCACACCGAGGGAAGTAAAGTAAGAGTGAGAGAGATGAGACTACGAAGCGACCAACGGCCGCTCAGAAGTCAGCCCGGAGAGCGCTTACCAGCCTCTGGTCTCTCACTGACTCACTTCCTCTTTTCCTCACTCTCGCCGAAACTTCGTATGGGCTAGTAGAGGACACAACTACCACCCCTCTCCCTCAACTACTTCCAGCAGCTCCATCACCGCCAAGCCAGCGATGTGATCGGCTGTGACGGTACAGAAAACGTTGTCGCCTATAAGGAAGGCAGCGCTAGCACGATTTAACGCACGGTAGACTCAAAAGAGGCGGCAGAGTGGCAGCTGGCCACTCTGCCGCTTCTTTTGGAATTCGTCAGTGAGTTCCGCATCCTGAGTCTTCCAATGGTTAAAACCAGGAACACGGTCAGGAAACGCCTGTGGTCAAGAAGCGACCCGACCGCCGCTATGTGGCAATAGCCTTGCGAGTTCGGTACAATAACAGCCGCACGGTTAAGTCAAACAGTCCAGTCTGGCTGAAAGGAAGGCGCACTTCGGTAAAGGCCAACTCCCTTCACGTAGATCTGTGGTGAGCGAGGTTACCTTCTTAAAATCCGATTAAGTTCCAGACTATAACTCTTTTTGCTCGCCTTACGACGATCTTTGATCGTCAATATGTCATCTAGACTAACCTAAACTTTATCTTCAGCGTGATATTTCTATCAGTAACTGTGATTTTGCTCAGATTTTTGCTAACTTCTATGGTAACTTGGGGGTTCATCTTCAGAACGACAGGTAGGTAGAGAAGTTTTCAAGGTAGTGATCCTTATTGATATTTGTTCTTATCATGACTACAGCGTTGTATGATGTTTTTATTCATGTAGGAATAAAATTTCCATATCTAGAGAAGTTTTATTAGAGTGCTTCGTAGAAATCATTGTTTTCAATTCTTATGCAAAAAATTTATTCAATAAGAAGACATCCGAAACATTTCTACTGTTTATTTTTCTTAATGCCATGCACGTTTATGGGGATTGCACTAACCCCAATTAATTTGTATTAAGTCGAGCGTATTCCCTGCTAAATAATAAAGATAGAAACATTCTCTAAATAATATTAGCCGCTTTGCATAGTCAAATTATAATACCGGAGGTAAGTTTTCGCCAATTATGTTCGACACTAGTTTCTTGACGGAGTGCGGATAACGAACTATTATCAAACACTCAGAGTTAAACAAACGAGTTCAGAAATTTAATACGTTGGTATAGGAGAAAACACAAGGCCATGAAAAGGTCCTGTGAAGTCTATATCGCACCAAACGAAACAAGTAGATTGATTCGTCCAAGCTATGCTTTACCATTATGCATATCATCGTGAGCCTGCCGAATAATTTCCAAAAAAAGGGGCGTCGGTAACCGTACGTAGCACAATTAAAATTAACGAGAAAGGTACAACTAACCATTACCCTGAACTGGCTACATACATGCTGGTTCTAGGCGTACGAATTTCCCGTAATTCATAATCTTCAAAGTATTTTATTACTGTCACTAGTAGAAACAGTTTATCGAATAAATCTGTGGCCTTTACCTCAGTCGAGTACTTATTATCGATAACCGTCTTGCTTTGTACCGCAATAACATCGCCGCCAACAATGTAAGTGTAACTTTGTTATACATGTTCGCATCACGTGGAATAAAATAATGCATTGGCTCTTCTATTAAGCACCCCCTTACCCATATCGGCTGCTTCCTAGCTGCGTTTCCACCATGCTAGCCCGGGACTCGTTCATCGTCGTTTTAACACCTCAACTGACCGAGCAAGCCTCGAGTAAGGCCCTGTCTTGTCGATTTTCTGCCATCAGCAACCAGAATCTCACTGACAGGGCAGTTCTGACCATGAGCGAAGAAAGCTATTCACCAAAGCTGCTTGTATATTCTCCTTCTTAATGGAAGGCGTGGCAGAGAAGCAGAGAATAAAGGTTCCTGTGCCTGTTTAGCTAGCTCAAGACGTCCTAAGACATTGTTCCAACTCGATGTCCGCCAGTGGCTGGGCGCTGTACCGGCAGTTGTTTAGGCCCATCTTTTGTTTTGCTACCCTTCCCAGCTACCCGAACCTGCCGCGGACGCCGCCCACCTTTCGTAGTCCGCCTGGTCGCGTGAGCCGATTCGGCTACGGCTTCAACCCTGCTCAACTGTGCCATTTCTCCTGCCTCTGCTGCTAAACGCTACTAGATCTACGTCAGGGCCTCTATTGGCAAGTAGCGTCCGGTGGGCCGCGCACCACGTCAGTCCCAAAACGGGCAGGTTGAAGGGAGGAAAAAGCGCCCATTGCAAGGGATACAGAGAGAAGGGGTATAGAGGTTGAGGGAGATAGCTCAAAAGAACAAAAACAAAAGACGATCCTGGGTGCGGCTGTACTAACGACGTTCTGACCTCATTCTTTGCCTCCGTGCCGTCCATGCGGCATCATCAAACTGATCCTCATCTAGGGCAGTCCTGGCCACCTTCACTCTTGTTTTACAATGCTGCTTACCTGTCATGATCTACTGCTGGACAACTTTGGTAGAGTCTACTGCTTCTGACTTTCTATGTCACCAGCATGTCTTGTCAGTTGGCCTAGTCCTTATACTACAATACACTGAAGCTTGTTTAGGTTTATGGTACGTGAACCGCACGCAAAAGCACTTTTCCTCGGAAGTTCTGGGAAAGAGCCATTCCATAGAGTACTAATACTCTTCAGTGCCCCTACTCGTCAGCACAGTTCTCCGTTGTAGGCGTTCTCCAGCGTTTCTTAATCCTCGATAGCAGCGCTGGCAGACTAGGTACTCTGACGGGGTATGGGACCCGTCTTTATAATCCCTGGATCGTTTTCGCTTGTCTCCAAAGTATGACGGTCCAACCAATCGTTCTGAACGGTCCGCTTTTGCTCGCAAGGGCAGAGCTGTTGCCCCTACAGATTCGTCACGTAAAAGGCAAACTTAACCCAGTCTACCCAGTGACTCCAATGAGCAAGCGACTTCAGCGGTCTTACTATGTTCCATTGCTGTCTGTGTCCGCAGCTGGCAGTAATGCAGGCACCTTAACGCCATAATTTCTCCTGGCTTTTGCTGTTTTTACTAGCACTAGTGACCAAACTTTGCTTCAGTAAGACTTGGTTAAGGCTATAGAAAGAGCTTGCATTGGATAGGATCAACGTTTTTGTTGTTGATAGATGAACGTGAAACATGCCGTTTAGTCGGCTAAAAGGCTTTTATTTTCGGGTATAATATTATAGCATGGCCGCGCCCTAAATCAACGTTTCGTGAGTAAGATCACTATGTCGGACCTCTGGATATTTTATGACCTCGAACATATGCAAGTCTATGGAGAAAAACCTAGCCAATATGGTATATATACAGAAATAAAAATTAGCCATGATTTCTATTCAAAT